CCACCCATCCCCTCGCCCACGGCAAACTTGGGCTTGGTGACTTTTTAACGTGGTTATCCCCACACAGGACCGCCCAGCAAAGGTAAGCCCCCCCGGCCCCGCTCAGCGCGGGGTAACGGGTCGGCCGGTAGTTGCCCTGAAAAGGACACCCACCGCTCGTGGCACCACGACACGGCAGGCCCACCGCCCTCGCTAGCACGGCCGCTACTCGGGTCATTCCCGAGACGCCCGTCCAGCCCGGACTGCGTCGCCGCTACCTGACATACGGTCAGGACGCCGACCCAGAACCTCTCCTCACAAGACTCCCTAAAAGGGAAACACCCCAGAGCGCGACCCGAAACTGGGTCTTACCGCCCCCCTACGCACCTCACGACGGCCCTGAAAAGGGCCAACAACGACCCACCCGAAGTGGTCGAACCCTCCTCCTCCCAGCCCGTCAGCCGCTACCAGGAATAAGTCCAGGACGCCTGACAGGCTCCCTCTGCTGCTCGTTGGCGCCACCCGGGGGACACGTGCAGGGTAACAAAGGGCCAAAGCCTGCGGACGTGAGCAGCTCGTCCCCCAATTTGTGGTCACCTATCCTATGACTGGCCATTGCTAAAATTACTTAAGTACCGTATCGCAGACCGAGAGCTTTGACCACTGCGCTATCAACCTTCCCTTTCTCAACTAGAGACTCTGTAATCCAAATTAAATAATGAATTGAGTTTTAGTTTTAACATTATAACACGTCCATCATAAAAACGCTCTTAAAATGTCAATGATCTATGAATTTACTTCTTTAAGAGAACTGGCACAGAAAATTGTTTTTATAAGCATCAGCGTAGAGAGTACGAGCCGAAAACTTCCCTGCGCATTGAGGCTTTATGCAAAAGAACCTGAGTCTATAAAACGGCCATAAAGGGTCGCCCGTCCAAAGAATGCAAAGTGAGCTGTGCCGTTAACTCGCCGCGTAGTGATGTGGCCAGCTGTGATTTTGTAACGTGATTTTTATCTGTCATCACTTCATTTAATTGTTATATATACGGCTTAATAATATCTACAGGTGTCTCAAAACGTAAATGAAAAATTTAATCGTAGTTTTTACTATATTTGATGACTGATTTTTAAGAACTGCTTTATTTTTTTTTTTGCTCTTCTACAGAAGTATATTAAATGTAACAAAAAGCTATTTAAGAAAAAAAATTTTTTTGAGGTAACGCTTTTTGATTCATGAACAAATTAGTTTTGTACAATATTGTTGAGCTATTATTAAAGCATTTTAAATTGGTTCTGGACTATTATATTTATACGTTTTTATTAGATGGTAGCTGTTCACCAGATGTTTGTAATTTTTTATGCTAATTCTTTTGTAATTGTAATTATTTAAAATCTTTTATACTATATTGATAGGTCTATAAATTTTAATAATAAATAAAGTTTATAAATAATAAATAAAAATATACATTCAAACTACACATAAAAACTGAGTTTTCTAAACAGAGTATATATTATTATGAATGAAAAATCACATACTGATATCACGTGATACCTTCAGGCTCACACTACAGTACTCTTGTCAGACGGCGGTGTCCTTTACGATAGATTTATATTCATGACACTATCTCCAACGCGTAAAATTTCGGGCAATGGCGATCTTGAAGCAGGCATATGTAATTTTGTTTGAATAAGTAAAGATGGGGTAGGACAAAGGCTATTTGATCTCTGTCTCTGATCCGGAATAAATAGAATAGTCCGTTCACTGTTTTATGCGATATCTCATAAATGGATTTTGGAGTACAGTGGTTTATGGGATTATTGACTCTTTGTAAACAGAATCTTTGATCTATGAAAATCTTACGTGCTTGAGGAGAATGAATAAACACCTATAAAAACTTGGCTATAAGCTATCATATTTCCTTAATACCAGGGCTTTAATATAGTTATCTTCTATCTTGAAGCAGTAACTTATAATTATTCGTTAACCACACTTAAAGAATAAAATTGCTTTTGGCAATATTTAACAACGAATTTACTACAGCACGCAGACTCAAAATGAAAACTTCATTTTCCTAACTGAGTCGACTTAGAAACGAACCTGGGGCTTCAGAAGTGACTTTGAGACTTCCAACACAGAGGATGTCGATCCATCAATTTATTACTAGCAATTTGCTTTAGGCATTCTTTCAAAATGTTACGTTTTTAAAACCATTTGAATTGATAAATAAGATAACAGTTATTTTACTTAAATCAAACGTCTCAAAAATCGGATCAGTTCTTACTTAATACATTTTTATAACTATTTTATTTACAGTAGCTTTATATATAGCTATTATTCAGACATTATTCATTATTCATAAGTAGTCTTTGAAAATACTTTATATTAAAACGTGTGAATATTTGCTGCTTGAAAGTCCGTTGACTATTAATTCCATTTTCTTTTGCAGGAGATAACGAAACTTATTTAAGATATCTTGCGAAACGCCTCTCAGACATTTGGGGTGCAGCTTGGATGAAATGAACAGGGAAATACGAAGAGTCAACTATTTTAAAGCGTTTAACACATTAAGAAAAACTCTTTTTACGTTATACAATAGTGTAAAAATAAATGTAAGGTTAGCTTGACTTGACTTAGGTTTCCGCCAGTGTATGGCCTTCGGGCCGCTCCCGTGCATCGTCTTCCATGCGAGGGACATCGCTGAGTTTTAGTGGGTAAACTTCTGTTTCTTGTCTTGCCCCCCTTCTCATTATATTTCTCAGCATCATAAAAAAAAAGGTTACCGCCTGTAGCTTCGCATTGTGGTCTTGTATTGTACATATGAACCTTCCTTTTGAATCACTCCGTATATGAATAAAAACTGCATTAAAATCCATTGCGAAATTTAAAAGATCTCTGCATATAGACAACTGGAAGCAACGTTGTTTTATAATAAGAAGGCAGCTAAAGTGCGGTAAAATTATTTACTAATAAAGAGAAATGTAGAAATTTAGTCAAACCTGCCGACATTCAATACTCATCATCATCATCATCATCACCAGCCCTTTTACGTCCCCACTGCAGGGGCTCAGGCCTTCCTTATGAATGGTTAAGGAGGAAATATATAAATACTCAAAACATATAAATAACAGCTTTTACTTAAAATATCAGGGACTCGACAAAAATAAGGTAGCATGGTAGAATTCCTAGTTAATGGTTATAAAAGTATAAAACAACTTCAGCATAAGTTTTACAACTAAAATAACATTATGGCATTATTGAGATTAGTTTACAGTTTCTTGAGTTAGGTAATAAAACATTAAATAGTGTCGGCTCCACAGCAACATTGTTCTTTAATACGTGTTTCGTCTTGAGAGACCAAAGGTTTCTCTTTATATCTAATAAAATTTTCTTCAAAGTATCCTTAATTGAAAATTCAAATTTATGCATAAGCTCTGATTGTACAGGCGAGTTCCTAAGAAGAGGTCAGAGTTACAACGTTTAAGAAATTCAAGCCTTTCCTAGCGGGTCCTTGGCAAATTACGTAAATGAAAATTACCTCACGGATTAAAAGGATAGGGTTAAATTAATTCTCGGCGATTCAACGTAAAATCTAATACAATCTTAAGGGTAAGAAACTAATTTACAACTAAGTGAATAGTATTAAATATATTAGTATTTTGGACGTTCAATTTGACCTGTATTCTTTTAATAATGCCATAAATGTATTCTTTGTAAATTTGTACATCAAATAAATAAAATAGCAAATTGTTTTTACTCAAAACGAATGTTTTCCCGCAACTTCGGTAGAGCAAATTCACCTGAATATGATGTAGCTTGCCGTTGATGAAAGAATTTTTAATATTGGTTCAGTAATTATGAGCTTATATAATGCAAAAAAAAACAATTCCCTTTTATAATATTAATGTAACATACGAATATTAATGAACGAAAAATAAAGTCGATATTGACTAGTAGAAAGTAATTGTTACCATATATAAAAATTTACTTTCATTGATCTATAAACTGAACCAGACATATTAACTTCAATTGTCCATAAATTGCCTTATTAGCTAAATGTATACTTAAGAAAATTATATGTTGCACATAATGTCTTCGTAATAGGAGCTAGAAAAACCATTTTTAATTATCTATAATACTTCTAATTATTGTTGAGGATATACTGGTTAGGGTTAGTTTGATATCATATATGTATATATATATATATATATATATATATATATATATTTAATTTGATTTCGTTTTAGTTTCACATAAAATTAACCCATCTTCAATATAAAATACAATACATGTATCTTGTTAGTATACGTTTGCTACTTTACGAAGCAAATTTCGTGTATTTATTGTATACATACATACAGAGGGTAATCAACTGGAACTTAGAAACCATTTTACCATGACATAAATAGTTAAGCGAAAATGAAGATATTTTGGTAACTATAAAAACTTTTTCAGTATAGTGAAGAGTATTTACATATAACATTGATTGTAATACACTACAATTGCTATATGTTTCACTTGTTTTAATAAAGTAGATAATGATTACGATCACTCATAAGGTACTATTTATATAATGCGCTTTATATAAATTACAGATACAAGTAATATTACATACACTACTCAGATTCCAAGATGCGTAGCTAAAGTCCCGTGTTATGGAATTTTTGAGACAGCGAAGGTACCGCAACCCGCAGCGCCGAGGCAAAAAAGATATGTCAATTTTCTAAATTGACTCGACCGTGAATCAAACCTAGGTTCTCACAGATGGTGACACCTTAAAACCGGTACACGAAACACTCTGCTACGGAGGTCGTAATTATGATAAGGAGACTAATAAAAATTAAGATTATAATTAATGCTCACCCTTGGGGATGGGGTACAAACTAAGTAACAACATCAAAACCAAATGTGGTGAACAATTTACCGAAGTTTTGTTTCCTTGAAATAATAATGTTGTATGAATTTGCTTTCCCAATCGATCTAACGACACGTGCGGATTAAATAACAACTGATATTACTATATCTACTGATACCTACTATATTACTATAATATCTGTGCTGATATTAAAAAATATATCAGTGATTAGCGCGTTTGATGTATAATGCGGAAGTTCAAATGCCAAAGCAACAATCACAAATGCCGGTCATAATAATAATTATAATAATAAAAATTTATTTTCTTTTAAATGAGGTACATTGTAGATTGAAATACAATTTGAGTTCAGCCCATTTAGCCATCAGCTATCACCAGCCCTTTTACTTCCCCACTGCAGGGGCTCAGGCCTTCCTTATGGATGGTTAAGGAGGATGGGCCATGACCCTCCACACGCTGGCCCAATGCGGATTGGAGAGTATTAACGACTGCAAATGCAGCCGGGACCAACGGTTTAACGTGCCTTCCGAAGCACGGAGTAGCTCGAGATAATAATTTTTTGGTCACCCATCCCGACCCTTGCGAAAGTTGCTTAACGACTACGATCGTGGGCCGCGGCGCTTATCCACTACGCCACCGAGCTACTCAGCTATAGCATGCAAATATTGATAAAATTACAAAGTTACATTGGATATATGTATGTCAAAATTATTAAATTAAAAATATCATTTTTACATAAAACTATTATAGTATATATATAATACACACCTGATACTGTAGAAGCTCTTTTAAAATTTAACCACACATCTAGTGCTCTCAATAATTTGAATTACTTGACTGTACCTTTTTCATTACAAGAATTTGCAACTGCTATATTGTCCAGGCGTGACACTGCTTTCGGACTTGATGGTAATCCTTACAAAATTCTGAAAAAAAATGAATTTTAAGTCCTTTTTTTATTTTGTATATTAGAAAATTGAATTTAATATTAGGACCACAAGTGATTAATTTGCAATTTCCAGATGACTTAGTAGTATATATGTCAGGTTCAGATGTAAAATCAGTTAACATTAATATAAATAGTGCCTTAGATCTGTTACATAAGTTTTTGGTATAATTTTTACATCTAATTTGTCTTATAATACATATGGGGCATTCCACGCAAAGCGGACAGCTAAAAAAAGGTGATGTTTCCGATTTTAGTAATATTTGAGTATGTTTTACCTACACATGTCCTTGATACGTGTACCAAATATTTTTGTAATATAGTACCTAGTTAGAGAGTTAAGGGACTTTGAAATTTTGACCAACGACTGAGCATGCAGTACTTCAAAGCAGATTACCAAGTAATAAAATTATAGATATAAATAATTAAACTAATGTATTTATTACTTCATTTAATAAGGCTTTTAAATGAATTTTTGGAAAGGAAAAAAATTTTTTTTTAATTAAAAAAAAATGCGATTTAATTTTTTAACCTTGACTTTCACAAAGTTAGACCGTTTCGATATTTTTTATTATTTTTCTAAAAATAGATAATTTTATAAGGAACATTCGTGCTATGTTTTATAATGGGCGTGAAAGTGGTTTAGGAGCTAGACTAGAAACACTGTCGAAGCGTGGCGTCCCTGACGCCTGCCCTGCGCCGCGCTTGACGCTTGCCACCTGCGTGAGCTTGGAGATTACAGATTTTCTTTAAGATATATTAAGATATTTAAATTAAAAAGATTTTTTTTATTAATAACATGTTTATTTACAAATTTTCACAATTTTAAATGCTTCGCTATTACTCGTGTGTTTTACCATAATACCTTCAGTAATAGGAATGAAGGCATGATATTTTTTTGTGCCTGGTATTGTAGCTGCCGACTCAAATCTGCTTTTTAAAAATATTCTATTTTGTTGAATATCCTCTTTTCGAGCATAAAAAACATGCGTTTGAGGCAATGATTTTCTCGCCCATTCGTACAAACGCTCGGATGTGGTAATTGCATTGTTTGACGCTGACTGTAGACTAGCTCGAGTCGCCAGACGTTTTAAGTTACCCCCAAGTCCATCACATGGCCCTTTGCCATGAGAAGTGGCATGAAAATGAAATTCTGCGTCAGTACCAAAATCCTGTTTAAAATAAAATAAGTTTATAAAATTAAATCTGTTTTTGAAGTGCTGGGATGCACCATCAGTAATATAAATATATTTCTTAGTTGATATGCTCTTTTCATGAAGATGTTGATGCAACAACTTTTGAAACGTATAATATGTTGCAGTGTCATGTTTTAGATCATCAGATATCATTACAATGCTTCCATGTTTCAAATTTTGATCTTTTTTGTAATAAAATACTGATGTCAGCAGAGTAGCCTGGTCGTTATTCCAGTGGAATGACTGGGCAGCGTCTTGAACCACGAAGCTGTAGTTTTCAGCAAAATCGCACTGAATGATATTTTCACCTTCCAAAATCGACTCTTTTAATAATTGAAAATACCGAGTTTGCTGGTCTGCTATGTAGGCATGGGGTTTCAAAATGTCTAATGCTGAGCAAAGACTGTCAACGTATTCATCAGATGGAAGGACTCTAGTGGTGATAGTAAAACTGTCTGTACCCACCCATGTATCAAACTGCACATTAGTCACTTGATTTTCATCAAATATTCTTGTTAAATGTTCTCGGATTTCGTCAAGGCCTGGGCAATTATGGCATTGTTCGTTCAGTGACGATTTTCCTGTCATCAAATGGCAAGTTGGTGTTGGATCTGGGCACATCATCTTTTGCAGGCAATCCTTGTACGATGTTAGGGGAATAGCAGACTCTGAAGTAAGCGATGAAATATTTCCCCCGCTTAGCATCAATTTTACATTTTGATGGTAAATACACACGCAGACTACATGAGTACCCGAATCACCAGCGAGAATGCACTGCTTAGGACGCAACGAAAAGAATTTTGAAAGGCCTACTTTTGTGGCAGGGTATTCCAATTTAAACTGTTGATATAATTCATTGATGTTACACATTATGAGTTGTTTTTGCAAATGAACTCTATTGCCATCATGTAACTTAACAGACACAAAGTCTTTTTTTCCAGGCAATATTCTAGTGTTATCTTCTCTAAGGTAAAATGTTGTTACTAGATCTCTAACTTCTGATGTTAATTTACGGCCTTCCCGTGGATTAGGTGATGATAAAATACCGTTTTGCTCAACCAGTTCCTTGGCTTTTTTTGCTTGCCGTCTAGACGTACGAAATTCATCAGCAAGCTTTTTTTCGCTCCATGATTTAGGCGCTAAAGTAAGAATCATTGTTTTCATAGAAACAGACGTGGAAGGGTCATTAAACTTCTCTTTCAATTGTAAAAGTATTTCATTGTCGTTGGACTTTACATCGTCTGTTTGTGTTGATTTCGTAAGCGTATTTTCTTCTGGAACATAATATAAACCTTGCGATTCTTGTGAATTTTGGACTGACGATTGACTTGATTGGCTACTTAAGAGCACATTGTCACTAATAATTAACGGTACTTCACGAGTAAGACGTTCTCTACATTGTTTACAAACATATAAGTTTTTATTTGTAATTGACCACTTTTTTGCTAACACTTGTGACAACTTTCTTAAGTCTTTAATTTTTCTATGAACAGGTAAATTAAATGGATTATAACATCGATCTCCGTAAGGAGACATGATGTCCAAATGTTTTAATAGCCAAACAATCTAACAAAACTAATAAAATCGCTCTACAGTTTACACGCGCCCGTTTAAACAGTAAGTTGCTAAGCTACTAAAATAACGCGGCAAAATTTTGAAACATGGCGTCATCGCTCTGTCTCGTTCACACAAATTAATAATAAGCGTTTTCTTAGTGACCACAGATAACACGACTGTTTTTTTTTTTAATTTTTCAATTTTCGATCAGGAGTTTTTCTAGAATGCTACCTATTGTATTAATAAAAAAACATATTTACAAAAGTGTAAATGTAACATATTATAGTATTTAATACATATTAAAAATGTATTAGTATTATTAAAAATATTATTAAAACATTCCGTCAGAAGTTATTTTATTTCAATGATAGTTTGACTATACTCATACAAGTGGCAAGCGCAAAGCACGGCGCGGGGCAGGAGTCAGGGATGCCACGCTTCGACTGTGTTTCTAGTCTAGCTCCTAAACCACTTTCACGCCCATTATAAAACTTAGAACGAATGTTCCTTATAATATTATCTATTTTTAGACAAATAATAAAAAATATCGAAACGGTCTAACTTTGTGAAAGTCAAGGTTAAAAAATTTAATCACATTTTTTTCAATGAAAAAAAAATTTTTTTTCGTTTCGAAAAATTCAGTTAAAAACCTTATTAAATGAAGTAATAAGTACATTAGTTTAATTATTTTTATCTATAATTTTATGACTTGGTAATCGGCTTTGAAGTACTGCATGCTCAGTCGTTGGTCAAAATTTCAAAGTCCCTTAACTCTCTAACTAGGCACTATATTACAAAAATATTTGGTACACGTATCAAGGACATGTATAGGTGAAACATACTCGAATATTACTGAAATCGGAAACATCAACTTTTTTGAGCTGTCCGCTTCGCGTGGAATGCCCCATATGTTAATGAAGTTATTTCTAAGGCTTCCAGGGCATATTCTAAGATGTCTGGCAGGAACTCACTGGGGTTCTGATCCGTAATTTAATTTGAAATTACTATTAATTGCCATGAAAACCACTCCTATTACTTCATTGCAAATAGAATGCAATATTCCACCTTTACAGATAAGATTTAACCATTTGAAACATAAATTTCTTCTAAAATTGTTATGCATTAAACATAATGCTTTTATAAAGAAACTTATTACCTTCCATAACACATTTCCTCATTCGTCAACCTCTACAGTTCCATTTATTCTTCACGGCTTTTCATTTATATTAGAAATGAGTACATATAACATATTTAGAAATGATTACCACTGGGTTTGTTATGACCATGATTATATTACTGGAGTAAATTTACAAATAGGTGAGGTTTATAATATATTGACTCAATACCCAGCTTATAGATCTATATATACTGATGGTTCCAAGAACGACACAAATTCAGCATGGGCAATTTACAAACCTTACATCAAATCTGGCAGAGGAAGAAAGCTTCCTTCAGAAATAAGTGCGTTTTCAGCAGAGTGTTACGCAATTTACATTGCACTAAAATTTATATCTAAAGAACAGCATTCTCGTTGGCTTATAGTATCAGACAGCATAAGTGTTTTAGAAACCTTGGGAAATAACAAATTATCAGCCGATACAAACTATTTAATACATGAAATAAAACACTTATGGTTGCAGTTAACTCAACAAGGTTTTGAAATGATTTTTATCTGGACACCATCTCACATCGGTGTTCAAGGAAACGAAAACGCAGATTATTTAGCGAGAACTACCGTTAGCAGTGACAGCGGCAGCCCTGATAACGATGCTGCCATCCCATTTACTGATATTATTCCTATTCTAAAAAATAAGTTATTTCAGCAATGCAATATAGACTGGCATATTACTTTATCAAGAAAAGGTACGTGGTACGCTGAAATCAATAATATAATTGGAAAAAAAGCCCTGGTTCGTAAATTACACAGCAAGAAGCAGAACATTTTTTACCACTATTTCAAGACTTAGATTGAGACATGCTCGGTTTAATGCTCACCTCCATCGTATGCATATTATTGACTCCCCAAATTGTAATCAATGCAATATCGCTGATCAGACTTTGGATCACATTATTTTTGATTGTCCATCATTCAACATACAACGCCTTGCTGTAGCAGATCAACTTTGCAAATACATATTCAGCATTATATGCATACATATCCTCAACCCTCCAAGATATTAAACTTAAGACTTAGCATTAGCCTGCATCTAAAAGAAAATCAAAAGACTTGAAATATGACATGGCTGTATGGATGAAAGTCCTTTGCCTACCCTGAAATGGGTGAAATAATTTAAAAAAATCAAAATGACAAGTGGAAGATATAAACATGTAAACAGAATGGATTTATAATAATTAAAATTTTTATTGTCAAAGAAAAGTCCAACCGATAAAACAATATATAATGTAAGCTAAAATAAGCAACGATGTCCCAGCTTCTGCACGGAATGTCTCGCGCACTCACTATCCGACGTTGTATGGTGGGGAATTTTGTATAAATGCTATAGGTACCTTCCACCATTTACTCGGAGTAAATAAATCAATGATATTGAAATAAAAATAATAAATTTTTAACATATTTTTTTCATTTTCTTCTGTATTGGCATCATATTCAATAACACTGTTCAATTCACTGCGTTACGAATGAAAAAAAAAATTAAGTACCCGCTTGGAAATGTCATGTTTTCCTTTTTATTTCTATCGTTTAGTAAGAATACATACATATTTTCTTTCCATGACGTCAAATTTTTTTCCATGAGGATATGACAAATTTTGCTAAAAATTGAAAGATTCAAACATAATTTAAAGATATCTTATAAAATGTACCAGATATTTTCCATCAATCGAGTTTATTTTTTATCATTTTGGTATAAAAAATACAAAAAAAATCAATGAATACCATTTAAACCCAGAATACCTTTAAATTTTTAATTTATTTTTTGTGTTTTGAAGGATCTTCTCGTTTTAGACGCCAACAGTAATCGCCTAGCATAGTTGTGGCCTTGAAATCGTTCTTCAAGCTTCTTTATATTTTGGTGGAACCTCTTATCACAGTCAGCCAAGATAAGATGGAAAAAAAAGAAAAGTGGGAATGAAGAAAGTGAATTTTTAACGGAATTCTACAACCCAACTATTCGTATGTTTTGAACATATAGTTAAGTAGCTGTTCCGCATTTTTGGCTCTATGGTTCCCTTAAAACTCTTTTACAATTTTCAGTGATAACCAGGCATCTGTCGTCATTATATTTTACAACATTTGGCATATCTGGCGCTTCTGAAATCTCAATTTCATTTTTGGTATGAGGTAATGGAGGAAGCATTTCTTCTTTGTGAGGTACTTGTTTCAAATATAAAGGTATGTCAGGATACTGAATGTTGTTCTTGATTTTCTTTGAAAAGCTACGTATGTCAGTCATGCAAAAGTACCAATCATAAAAATGATTACTAGGTTCACGCCATAAAACTGGTACGGCAAATGGCATTGACGTCTTGTTTCCATGTAACCAAGATATGAGAGTAGCATAGCACGTAACACAAAAAACTGTGGTATCCATGATTTATCTTGATTAACACGTCCAAAATAAAGTAAATATGCACATCTCACTTTTAAGAAAATTGAAAAAAATGTACTGTCCACAAACGTAACAAAACTTATTTATTTGGTTCATTTTTGCAGTTGCGACGGCCACTTAGTTCAGTTTTCGTGTTGGACTTTTAAATAAATATGAGAGACCTTTTTTTACCAATATACAAGAACCTCCTCTTTTTTTATTTCTGGAAAAATGTGCCTCAAGCTCAAACTTCAATATATTAATGTTTTGCTCTTCACTACTCCTTAAAAATGTTTCTGTAAAACAAAAAAAGTCAGGAGACATATCGCTTTGGATTTCTGAAAGAGTTATTTCTATCAACTCCTTTTTAGAACTGAACCCTGAGTATTTTGATGGAAAATTGTGAAGCAATGATTGAACATAGGATGGGTGACTAAAATTGATCAACTCCAACTCCTTCGTTTTTTCTAAGGCACGTTACCACGATTTAACTCTCAATCTCGGCTGTATTTACAGTCATTAACACCCACCAATCTGCACTGGGGCAGAGTGGTCATGCCCTATTTCTCTATTCTTTGTGATTCGTTTGGATCCATAGGGGAGACATGTGCTCCGACAGTGAGTTCAATATTAAGAAAATTACCATCATGTAATAATAATGATACCAGAATTACAAAAAACTGAAATAGTCAAGTTGTTTACGAAGAAGACCACAACACAAAAGCCCATGTCCAAGGAAGTGTAACTTTCGCTTATCCGAGTTATTGATCTTGCGAAAGTCTGAAAGAACTTTTAGTACTTAATAGAGTTTCTTTAAAAATTAATAGGGATTAAATGGAAGAGATTAAAAAGTATACGAAAATCTTTTAATGAACTTAGTGAAACTTCTTTTGCAACATTATTTGTTCATAACGTTTATTTTAAGAATGTTTATTTTACCAAGTACATTTAATTCAAATTTGCAGTATAATTTTACTGGTTGAGATTCCGATAGAAGCACTTTATTCATCTAAGTTATAGATAATGTGACGTCACATCATTGTAACAATCATAAACCCCAAAGGGAAATAAATCATCATCATACAACGGGTCGCCGTTGATTCCGAAGTAAACGTACGACTCCCAGTGCTGAGTATACCCATTGATTTCCACGACGATTAACTGCGCTGCCCGTATCCAGCGGATTCCCGCAACATTTTTAAGATCAAGATAACGTCAATTCGCCTGGTGGTGGGCCTACTCACTGACCCGGTAAGCTTGCGAAGTCGAAATTTATAAATGTATCAGAACAAAAACAGCTACGCTGTATAAATTCGCGCCAAGTCCACGTTCATATAATAATGTAAAACAATATCAAAAATTTTGTAATTTACAAAAAGATATGAAATAACATAAATTCCAAGTACCGTTGTAGTTTTTTTTAAATAATCGAACAAATTTTTTTTCCAAAGCTCGATTCGAAAAATATTTTTGAACGTACTTGGCATGCATCATTGAGTACCCCAAATTTTTTTATATATGAGATGCTTATCTTGATGAATTATTTTTTTTGTATTCATACAAATATGAAAATAGATAGACCACATCACAATTTTACCACGTTCTCTTCATTTCTTACAGTTACAGTAATAACTTTTTGTAATTGTATGAGATAAATGCCTTATAACGTATTGCAATAGTTGATTCATGAAAAAATCATTTTTGGCAGCTAAAAACGCAAGCTAACAATATCGTTTTTTATTGGTATTATTCCATGTATTACGAGAATTCTATACGTTCTCGCGTTTTATAGTCTATGAACCTGCTCTTTTTCCATCAAATAAAAATCTGGGTCTAAAAATTGGCGTAGCTATAGTTTGTGCTAGTGAATTTATTAATTTTTAATTAGTATTAAAGTAACTTGTGAAATTTAATGAATTTGTATGTGTAATTTAAGCCATAAAGTACAATGTAAAATGATAAATCTCATCCAATTGTCTATTAAATAGGATTATTATTTTTACCACACGTTACCTATCTGCGTACAGTATATACATTCGGTAGTCTGGCGCTCCGTTTTCAACTGATCTAAACGATTAGAACTTAGCGCCAGATACTACCAAATGTGTAGGTTGTCGCAGTGTATAACGGAACATATCCTCAGTGTGTTCGAGGCGTCAAAATGCTTCGCACTGCGCATATCTTGCATCATCAAGCTCTAGAAGTGATATCACTCGCTGAAGGTCAGAGTTCATTATTTAAGCTTAATAATCAACAGGACAGCATGTTTCCGCAAATTCAGTAAGTACACACTTATTATTCAATTCTAACGACTGCGTTATCGTCCAATGAATGGAAAACTAGCAGATATCAGTTTAATTATTTTGAATGATGATTTATTGAATTGAGTAGAGCAGATATTAAAACAAGGGTCAGAGCCCTTGGTGTAATCGTAGAATTACTGAGATAACCCCCTAAGTTTACCCCATGATCTGGAATCTTCTTAAAATATCATCTAATCCGCATGGAATACTGAGGAGAATCAAAGATCATAAATAAATCCGGTGATTTGGAAAAAACTAAGTTTAATCAAAGTCCTACTCACAGATACAGATGTTATTTATAACCGCAGGTTAAAGGTCTACGATAACGAAACTTGATAACGGAAGCATCTCTATGAATTGTGATAATTTGTTATTCGGTAATCTAGGAATAAAGTTAATGGTCAAATGATGAACTTCAATAATATCGTAATGATATCAATCATTGATGAATTGTTAAGTAAACAAGCTTACTTTGTAGAATTTCATTCAATGAATTTGACGAATGGTAATCCTGAATATATTTTTACCTGTAGACTATGCATTACACCTAAAAGATCAGGTTTCTTTTATCTAGGAGTCTCTATTAGTCCTTTTGAACGCAAGAACAAGATGATGAAACTGTAAACTATTCTTGTGCAAAACTTTGTTTCTAAGCTCGCTGCAGGAAATTAGTGACTCATTTTCACATATGAATTCTTGCTGCTAATCTAAAACCGAATGGACTCTAATGAAAAAAATGTTTTCAAACATCGTTGTGGCGAGTGTGGCCGGCATAACTAAAATCATAAACGATTGCTCAACTGAGTTACACCCGCGCAACTTCCAAACACATTTCATAATATCAGTATGTTTACGGAAACTAGTACTGTTGGTTTATTTGACTATGAGTTGTTATCAGCTAGACCGCATAGAAAAAATACGTTGCCGGTCACGCATAAATAGATACTTGGGTCCGCTGACGCATCACGCTAATTCCCCCTCCACTTTTGCCCACGCATGATGAAAAGAGCACCGTCCAGTATAAGAATAATCATTTGCAATTGTTTACAGTAAATTACGCAACAAATCTGAATAGTAAATTTTTAGAGTGGAGATAATAAGATTTGCAAGCCTACATCTTCAATTAAAAAAAAAACTTTTTAATGTTTATTTCAACAAGAACCCTTAGTAGTCCAACGCTTAAGTAATAGCTGGTATGAGATCATAGAGCTGAATTTCTGGCGATAAAAATAGCAGCAGTTGTAAGGAATATTATAAGAAGATATATTGGTCTCGCTACAAATCTCAGGGTTAATTAAGGGCCAGTAAGTTAAGGACTTCCTTGGATGTTATTTCATTCGAACTTCATGCGAGATTATTTATTTTTCAGATGGAAAATATTCAAGATTATAAGAAACCATACTATGTAATCTGATTCATAGAAGTGCCCTTCGAAGGAGTCGATAACTACGTCTGTGTGCCGCATTCATGGGTGATAATAAAAAGGTCGACAGACAACAAGGTCTTTGTTGCCTACCCAAATCAAGAAGATCTCTTTGACACAAGAGATCGTGTTAAGAGAAACGAAAACTGCATCGAGGAATGGAAGTGTTATATGGCCGAAATTAGGTTCGAAACATGTAAGTTCAAGTTATTCAATTGCGTGCCGTTTTGCTGAAGTAGATTCGTTTTCAAAAATGCACAAGCAATAATGTGTGTTTCCATTTCAGAGAGTTACAGAGACACAGAGTATTGGAAGGCGTCACGGAATGATTTTAGTCCTTGGGTAGAAAAAAGTCTGTTTAAGAAAGGTAAGAGTTGAACGACAGTTTTTCAAATGCGGCAGTTCTGATAGTAAAATATGTTTTGCATTTCCGTTTTTCGATTACGTTCTGAGTCACAAATTAAAATTTCTCTTTCCAGCTGCTCAATCAAAGCCAACGACGGACAGAAAATTAACGAGTAGTAGTCGAAGCTATTTGTCGAAGTTCACGAAAAATAAACCTCAGCTAACACCAAAAACGATTAAGAATCTTCAGATGTTTCCGGCGAAAATGTCACTGAAACTGGCAGCACGACCAAAAGCCGCGGAACAGCGTGATGAAGGGCAGCGAATACAGGATAATGCCGGGTGTTCAAAGGCAAAACAATCTGCTATAATTGGAGAGCTTGATCGAACAAAAGCAACTGTTGCATCATCCAGCGACAAACCTGCCTCTTCTCAGCTCACAAGTGAAAAGCGTTACCGATCTTCACCAGTACCTCAAGCCAAAAAGCAGCTCCCAAGTTTGCCAATTATAGATGTTGATACAGCGACAGAAGTCATCGGTATTGACAAAGAAGACGAGTTGCAAGAAAAACAGCAGAGTGAAGCGAATACCGACAGCCAAAGTCAACGTGCTAATAATCTGTCGGCTACATCAGTGGCACCACCACAACCTTCTACGTCAATTCAGCAGTCTCCTCATTCGGCTCATCATGATCATCGAAAACATTCGCAGGACGGGAAAAATTCACACATTGTACCGGTAAAAACAGAAGTTCAATCTGTTATAGAAAATGACACCAATGAAACACCATGTAATGTTAGAATTTTATATAACGAGCCAAATACTTCTCACCTTCTACCTAAATCTCCAAAAATGAGCGCCCAACTGTACGACCATGTGAATGAGAGACCGTCTATGATACCGATGCATGAGCTAGTTGGGAAGCGAATACGTCTTGCGAATTCTGAGAGACTTATGGCCATTGCCGCGCAGAACCCATCAAATCTGATGGACCAAAGAAGATCATCACCACCAGAGAAACAGAAACCACCTGTGAATATTCCAGATTTCGGAATAAATATTGGAAAATCCTTCAACATGAATGCTCTAGATCCAAAGGTAGTTCTTGAGAGAATCGATGATGTCGCATCCGTTGTACAGCACACTCCAAGCTTACCTCATCAACGTCCTAGCTTCGTCCGACGAGTAAATAAACGACGATATTCACCACCTCTAAAACAATGTCAGCAGCAGCCAATGGATGTTCCAGAAACACTTCAACGACGCAGAGGATCGCACAGTATCACTCAGAGAACTGATCTTGAAGAACTTTCGATGCGTGAAGCATCTTCTGTGCAGCGTCTTTCTAATCCAGCTGCTAACCAGCCGAGTAAGAGTGCCCCGCAATCTTATCAAGGCACTTTCCATCAAGAAAAAAATCAAGATCTACGCAGGGTGTATCCGAACTCAAACTTCTCACTACAAAGACAGCCGCCACAGTATTATCCAGATACACAACGATACACATATATACCAGACTTGCAGCGATTAGAAACAAGAGTTCAAGGAAAACCAATCGACCGCAATCCAGGTTCTGAAATTCCCTCTCAATACATCATACCACCAGCAGCAGCAGGTGAATTTCGCAGCTTGGAAGGGCCATCGTATTCATCCCAACAATATCGAAGAGAACTATTAAGATCTGGTAGTGATAATCTGCATCAGCCCTTTCTGCCACACCAACGAATGCCCTATCAACTTCCTGATATGGCTATGAAACAAGTTCTCTCCGAAAGTAACATTGCCAACTCATCTACCGTACGAAGCCCCCCAAGATCAGCGGATCATATTCGTCATACCGATAAATGTATGAAAGTAGACCCTGTATTTCCTGACAAAGTACTTTTCCACATCCTAAAGTTGCTGTGGATCATGAAGTCCTTTCAGAGCAAGAGACGTTTACTAGCAATGCTGACTATGCAGGAATTTCAGGTAAACAAGACTCTGCATCATCAAAGAAACAGCTACATGCTAGAATCGTTTTAGAACAGCAAATTTTGGATATCTTTTCAACGATTATGACTCAAATGGGATCTAACTTATATTATTCCTGTGAAATGTCCAAAAACTTACAAAGTTCCATCCTCGAAACTGCCGACACGTACAAGAAGTTGTTGAAATTAGGCGAGAGGCTCAACTCCCTAGAAACCGTAGAAAGCGCTGAGTCTTTTTCCAGTACAGTGGCACAGAAAATCTTGCCCTTGAATGAAGAAAAAAAATCTAGAGCTCCAAAGAGAGCGAGCTCTATCAGTCATAACCCACATAGCAGTAGAATTGACGAAGAACTGCTGAACAAAAAACGTACGATGCGATGGAAAGTCGTTCTACCAGCAGAATACGATCCTAATGATACAGAACGGACACTTAAGTGTAAAAAAATGGTGCCAGGGCTCAAGGAGGTATTGCCTGAAAAAGGCATTTACGTCAACTGTGCGAAACTGATGCATGCCAAACGAGTATCAGGCGATTGCAAGACGTTAGAGTCACTAGTGCTCGAGGAAGTCTTTAGTAAAATTGCCCTAACTGTATGTTCAACATGGCATGAAACCAAGTCTCCCAACAAATGCTGGATTGAGAGGCCTCCGTTGTATCTCGCGGCGTGGGATATCTTGTTCAATTACGTCTTACGGTTCGGAAGTCAACAAGATTGGAAAATTGACACCGAAGAGATCATCAAAGCTATGGACAACAAGATTTACGAAATACGAATCCAAACCGACATTTTGACTGAACGTTGTATGCTTTAATCGTCTGTATGCCAGCGAGGAAGGTTCAGATCTGAGTAGATCTTTGAATTGTTTCCAACTAGATCTGGAACAATCTCGTTAAATAAAGACCATTTGAAGATTTGGCCAGATCAATGTTAATAAATTATTTCACAATTAATTCGACTTCTGCTGTCAAATGTAAATAATAACATAATTTAATCACATAAGTTCTATGCGTCAATTATTCTAGGTTATATTCCTCTATTATTTTCTAAATTTTGTTTTCTATTGTACTGAACTCAAAACGGGCAATAGCTTTATACCTTAAGTTATTGTAAATGATTTAATTTATTCTAAAAAATTGTAGCTATACAAATGAATATAGCTCAAGTAATCCAAAGTAGTTTTAAGGATAAATTTTAATAAACATTCATTTTTTCTTATTTAACCGGATGCTAAACTGATTCTATTAATTATTCGGGACCCTGGACGAAGATAGCCAACGCTGGCATAATAAACTGCGAAACACTGTTACGTGTTATTTTAGATCAAGTCCAATGTCACTTTGGGTATGTTCCGATATACATTGCGAGCACTGCGCAGTGGTCTCTGCAGTGAAAAATTCGTTCCGAATGCGAAACGGAATTTAATTATACATGTACACTTTCTTGTAGAAGTTTACAAAAATACGGATTTGAAAAAAATATACAATTTTTGTTTTTACAATCAATTAGATTTAAAAGGATATTGTTAATATGTACAAAATTTAATTGCCAGTCAAGTGATACATATTGATAGCAGCCACTCAAAACTCACACATTATTTATGAAATTCTTTAAACATTCCCTATTCTCTATCCCAGCAATTTTTAAGACATCAATTACATCCACATCTATATCAAATACCGGAATTTCATGGTTCATTAAAATTGTAGTGTCAATTAGATCGTCTCTCAGTATACAAATGTTATGCAAAATATAACAAGCAATAACATAATATGGTATCAAATCAGTTCTTTTGAATGGCAGTTTATCTAATAAACTACGAAATTTTCCTTTTAGCAAAGCATTTGCTCGTTCTATCATCATACGAGCACTTGAGTGTACCACGTTGTATTGCGATGACTCTCAATTCAGGTTACCATTATTTCGATAAGGTACCATTATGCAAGGTTGGATACTGTAAGCTTTATCTCCTAAAATGCAGGTGTGCAATAGTTTTGTAAATTTGATAGCCGGAATACACGAGCGTCATGAACTGAACCGGCTTGACCACAATATGCATGAATAATTTTCAATTTGTGATCACATACTAGCTGAAATTAAAAAAAAAAGAGTTTCTATAATGACTTCAATAAATATTAAGTTCAGTATCTGTAATGAAATCTTTTAAAAAACCTGAGTTTGGATAGAATGAAAACCTTTGCGATTAATATAGCTGACATGATGTTCTTTGGGTTGAGCAATTCTTATGTGGGTCTCATCGATTGCTCATAAAACATTCGGAAATCCGTACTTTCTGTATACATGATTTGATGTTGCCCTTGCTTCGTCACGAGGCCATCTTATGGATACAGGCCAATAATCCACAGATTCGGTAGAAGCTGGCGCCAACTTCCGTTCTGATATTATATATCACGTAGGTGCTTCCAAAGCCTATAATTTTCGAGTTGGCGGCGTTTTCTGGTAAGCGTCGTTCGGTACACGATCGCCATTTCTGAACTTTTCCGACCATCAGTTCTTCAAGCTATGTGTCCCGCCCGCTGCCAATTCATCTGAGCAATTCTCCAAGCTTTGTCACTAACCATGATTTTTCTACGGATTTCTTCGGTCCTAATACGATCGATTAAGTCAACCACGTCTCGGTCCAAAGGAGTTCTTGGCACTTATAAGCTTAATAATTTGCCAACGGCTCACTATATCTAAAACGGTCTTCGCACCCTTCTAATATTTTTGAACGACCTATCCAACAATATCTCACACTATAGAGAAATCGAAATAGTAAAAAATCATCCCCACTTTACATGTAGGGGAGGTGCCTTAAAATAGAATTTTGATTACTGTTATATATTTAGTGACACTTGCAAGGTTAAGACAAATCGATTAACCCATAAATCATAGAAATTGGCCAAGCCGTTTGGTCTCGACAATACCATATAGGAACAAACATACATACATAGACTCATAAATACATTACCTTCCTTTGCGTTACGCAGTCGGGTAATAACAATCGGCGCACGCACAGAAAAGTACTTGCAGACGTATGGAGCGAGCGAACGATGTGCGCTTCAAGTCGGGGTTAGTTTCACGGTAGCTATCGAGAAGACGTGTCGATTACTAGTTTTCAATTGGCATCAAAAACAAGTGAACAATAGGATGGCATTAAGTAACTAGTACAACGCGTAAGCTATGCTTGTGGTTAATGCTATGCGTTTTATAGCTTAAGCCTGTTAATATTTTGCATTATTTTAATTAAATAATGTATATATTGTAAATATTATTGTTTTGATTAATAAATAAATATATATTGGTAATTTTTAAGGTTTGTTTAGAATAAGCTTTATTAATTTTTTATTGTTTTGGTAAATTTAAATTAATTGATTTTGAATAAATCATTATATATAAATTAAATATAAATATATGACATGAGACGCCACACAATCATAACCCACTCTTCATCATTTCGATAACAACGTCAGCTATCTGAAGCAGTTAATTCAACAACTCATTTGAAATTTTGATTGTACAAAATAAGGTCTTCCCCTTCGAAAATAACGCCCTCAAGATAAATTGTAATTAATATATTCATGATTCCAAAATGATCCTTAATTGAAACAAAGCGCGTAAGGGCAATGAACAAACAGATGATAAAAAAATGCTAATTAATATGACATTCATTAGCAAGCCACTTTAAGGTCTTTTTTGACGTTTAGCTTAAGGTTTATTTCACGAGTTTTTTGGAGAAATGTAAAGCTATGATTAATCTTATACATAAATTTTCTCGTATCACAGTTTTAATTATAATACTCCTCCGAAACGGCTTGACCGATTTTGATGAAATTTTTATTCAGTAGTTATTACAATAGGTTCTTATCTATTTTTTATACCGCTAAGGGATAAGGCTGGTCCACCCAAATTTATATAGCTAAACAACGGCCGGGTCAGCTAGTTTAAAATATTAATATACCATTATTAATGAATCAGAAATTAAATAAGAGCTCTAAAAATGGTAAGGTGAGGGTTTCGGATATATTGAGATTGATATAACAAAGAAGATATAGTCAGAAAAATATCTATTACAATTCTCTTTATTATTTTAGAAAATCAGAGAATCTAGTTGCAAAATTATAAAGCTTTTCAAATTTTGATTTCACTATTTATTTTATCAATAAACAAGTATCTGAATGAAGTAAATAAACTATAAAAAGTATAATACTATGACGAGCTATTCGGTTACGGTACGGTTCTTAATTAATTCAAATACTCGTATATCCGTTAAACATGTTTGCTTTAGTTATTACCATACGGTTATTAGTTATACTCGAATATTCATTTCTACTCGACTAATGTACTTATATAAGAGTGTTAAGAAATCATTTAATTTCTAATTTCACTTACAGTATCTATCACGACAGGGCCATCTAAATGAAAGCGCAAAATATCTATTACGATACAATCTCACGATCCACCCCCGTTGAAACATAAATAAAATGGTCCGACGTTTATATCATAGGCGACGGAAGTGTGATAACCGCTCCGTGTGTTTCCGCTGAGTAGCGTTTTGACACAACGATATTGTGTTGTTAACGTATTACATTATAATTTTATGCTGATGTAATTTTTAATCTAATTTGGCGAACCGAACGAGTCTAATAATGAGTAAATCAATGAATAAGAGACAACATCACATACACCGCTCACATTCCGAGTTGTTGAAGCTTATATGAAGTATTTAAAACAGCAAAGGTACCTTAACTTCCAACCTTAGTACTTATTAATCTTTTCGTATCCGAATAAATTTCAGTTATTTAATTTTAACAATTATAAAAAAAAGACGGCACACAATTTCACCCATTACAAAAGCATCAAATCAAGTTTTGATTAAGCCTATTAGTAAAAAACCGGGCACGTGCGAGTCAGACTCACGCAAAAAGTTTCCGTACCATTATTGTTTTATAAAAAATCATGATTGTTATTTTCTATGGAGGTTTTCGAAATTGTCTAGTTAAATACACTTTGTTGACTATTGCTCGTAAACTTGTAAAGCCAACTTAATAATAATAATTTTTTTTTTTTAAAGACCTATCCAACGATGCACCACATTATATATAGGGAGGACGAAAAAATTATCATCCACACTTTACATGTAGACCTCCCCTACATGTAGTGTGGATGAAAATTTTAACCGTAAAATAGTTTTTTTTCGAAATTTTTCTTTGTCAGCGTACTTAACGTGCGGATGGACAGACTGAGGGACTAAGAAACTTAGGGACTGACGGACTGACGGACCGATGGACCGACGGACCGACGGACCGACGGACCGCCGGACCGACGGACCGACGGACCGACGGACCGACGGACCGACGGACCGACGGACCGACGGACCGACGGACCGACGGACCGACGGACCGACGGACCGACGGACCGACGGACCGACGGACCGACGGACCGACGGACCGATGGACAACAAGATAGTCTTAGTTAACAAGATAGTCTTATAGTTTCGCCATGTCCGTCAGTCCGTCAGTTCGTCAGTCCGACGGACCGACTGACGAACTGACGGACTGACGGACATGGCGAAACTATAAGACTATCTTGTTGACTACAGAACCCTAAAAATACATTTTATAAAAAAAACAATACCATACGAGTAATTGCTGTTTTGCTTATATTTCATAATTGCTAGTATGTATGCAAACGGTAGGCTTTTAGAATATTAACTAGATTAAATGCCATGCGATGGGTATTTTAATAATTTACTTTTTAGCACTATTCACACGAATATTAATATAATTTATTATAACACCCTAATGCCCAATTTAAGTATTTCAATCTTAGACATTTTAAAATTTTGGAATATTATTCTCTAAATTTATAACTTTATAGATAACAACTACAAAAGATACAAATTAAAGTAGGTAAATCATTTGAAATTAGACGAGGATTATGCTGGCTGTGTTTTAACAGCCTTACTTCAAATTAAGTTTTATGACATTTGCCAACCGATTTGTAGTTTTAAGGATTATTTTAAAAGTATATTAAAGAATATTTTTATTTTTATTTCATAACTTTTAGTGAATACGATGTCATCAATATATTTTAAACGATTCTACTTATTTTCAAACAAAAACGGATCATCAAAATAAGTCATCATATGGTGAAATATACAAAAAAAAAGATATTCAATCCATTTGAGAACCGCTTCAATTTGATTAAGTCTGATAAAATAATATAATTTACCTTTAGGAGATTTTACATTTTTTATTATGAGAAAAAATATATTTAATATACACATAACTTTATGAATAGCCGTTCTAACTACTAAATTTAATTAAATATTTAAGTCACCATATTACTGTTCGTCCCCCAAGAGCATTTCACTTAACACAAATTAGAATAAGTTAATGTTAAGCCTTCAAAATCACTGCCTACACCAGGTGTTCTTAACATTTTATTGGTCTCTCTTTTAATCTCTTTACCCTTTTTCATTCTAACGTGTCCACAATAATTAAGGCTCTTATATAATAAATAACTTGTATAACAGATTTAACTTTGAAATTAATTCCAATTAAAAAAAACTAATAAACTCCAAGTGTTTATTTTTAAATCTTGCAAGAATAGAATGCTATATATGTGATTCGCAGGTGGTATATTTATTTAGTTTTATAAAAAAAAATAACATTAAAAAAAAGCATTTTAATTCAAAATTCATGTGAATTTTATCTTTTTTTATTGGTTATATTTTATAAATTTTGCATTCACAATGCAATACTAAAATTCTTAATGTAAAATGCTTAAAAATTCACTTTGTTTCTGACACTCTGAGATGAAAACCATAACCTTTCGAAATCCGGGTGACTGTTCTAACCACTGACCCAGGACCTAACAGGACTGACGAATCTTTCAAGCACTTATTACTTTTTCGCTACTGCAGAGCGTATTTTCACCAGTGTTAAGGCGGTTCACCCAAACAGCCGAAAGAAATATATTTCGAAATATTTAAACTTTCGATAAAGATGTAAATTTGTTCTAATTATTATATGGGATCATCTTAGAGTGGCACGGACAAAGTGGATTTTTTAAGTAATTTTAGCAGTATAGCATTGTGTATGCAAATTTAATCAAATAGAGTAATCTAGACATAGTCTGAAATATGTCTGAGAAAAAATGCGGTTGAGTCATGCCTTTTGCTCCTGAACGAGTGCTGCTTGAGATTTTTTTGGTTAAGAAAAATTAACTTTATTTCTGTATTTCATTCTCTTTAAAAATGTATGACAGTCTATTAGACAAAGATTTTGTTATTTTCCTAATTCTAAATTAAGTGAATTCATGGTCTAATGCAGTAATTTTTAAATTTAACATATCTGACTAAATAAGGCGAGAGAAAAGCAGCTTACTGAATTACTGGCCAGTTTTTAATCTTATTACAGCCTTTAGCTGCTTATCTTAGGATCAAAGCAATATATTGTTGGATATTTTTCTCCACGCGTACTCTTTTAAAGTATACTTGTGTTACAAAACAAAACAGAACCAACTACAAAATACGAACGCGCGAAAGTAGCTGTGAACATTGTCATTGTCTATTATTGCATGAGACAGCCCCGCCTCAACCGCGTCTTACCGCGTTATCAAAACGCCTCATTTGACAGTGCCCTTATTTGTAAAAGCTGATATAATTTAATAAAATCGTTATATCTTTGTCGGGTCACGTAAGGGAGCGCTTCGGGGGAAAATTACATTTTGTTTGTGCACGTCCTCTGAGCCGACATAGGACAACTCAGTTAACGAGTGTTCAGGATTCTCCGTAATTCTTTCATATCTCGACGGGTTTTTGGATAGAGAACACGTCGTATCGTTATACCGTGAATAGATTCAGTTTGCTACTTTTTCCTTGTTATTATCGGAAAGTCACTTATGTAACAATAAGGATGGTGACTAATTTATTTTTTGTTCGTCTGGTAGTCAGGCAGAGTACTGAAGAATATTAAACACTTATTTTTTTGTTTATAAAATTAGATTACAGAATAGGCTCCTCGATTTGTTGCATAGAGCTTCGATTGGTCATCACACGATCGTTTACATCGCGCGACAAAATCACGTTTGCTGTAATGTTAGCTAATTAGGACGCCCCCCTCCATTAACAAAACAGATTCACTAATTGTTTTTATATTACAAAAGTATATAAGCACGGAAACAGAAAAGTTCACCTGTAGGCCGTAGAAAAGTCCGTGCATTATTTCAACATTAGCGCGGCGAGAACATCCCGCCCTCCGCAACTTTACTCAGCATTCTGTAGCATAAAATGCCATAACAAAATGTTAATTTTAACCCTTGCGGAGTTGGGACGAGGGGTGACACGTGGTGCCAACGGAACGATATAATTTTGATTGATATATCGTACGAGTTGGATTTTGGACCGTTTTCTGAGTTTTTTTTTTATTTACAGCATTGTTTGATTATGTTCGTCGCTAATGAGAAAGTTTGACGTTTGTTTATTTTAAGCTATAGATTTACTATAGTACTACTAACTAAGCTTGTTAGATTTACTTTACATACAACACTAAATTAAATAAATACATTTATAGACCACAACTTTTTTCAAAATAACATATAACAAGAAACAGCAGTAAGACGACAGACATATCGGCTATACTATTCTCTTAAAAAACTAATAAAACCTATGTTACAAGCGAATAATAGTTATATTTTGTTGAAACTATGATGTAACAGTGTTGCCTCTGAGAGTTTGAGGCTGTATTATAGAAGTTATAATAGAAGAGCACTGCATAGTCACAATGGTTTAATTTAAAAATTCAACGCAACCTCTTTATTTGAGATGTGACTATCACATCTATAGGGATGTCAATCACTAGATTGACATCCCTATGCTTCTTTGAAAGATATTGATCGAACAAAATCGTTAATTTGACGTTAATTGGAAGCATAGCGATATATAGTTGAAACTCAACGATAAATATCAAACGAGAGAGTTAAACTAACTGCAATTTTTTGACGGTGTTTTCTATGTTTTTTTATATTTCTTGATAATTTAAGTCATCATTCGTTCTAAAAGAGATTACGACTTCAAAAATAATACTTTGAATCGCTATCACAATTACTATACCTCTGAAAGTATTTGTGATAGATTTCAAAATTATATCTTAGCAGACTTACATGGCACGGATCCAACTTGGTGATTTGCTTGCCATTTAAATTTGAAAATTAAATTGTATATCATCTTTATGGCGGCTGAGAAAATTGGAAGTACTTATCGTAGTAAAAAGAAAGCTTTAAACGGTGACAGGTGATACGAAATATATCGGACCATATATAACTCGTAGTATAATATTTCATAACAGTAATATAGAAAAAAAAACTAATGACACCTCTAAACTTCAAGTTTTTTTTACATATTGAGGTTATGAATATATTATGTTTAATTTAAAATACTATTAATACCAATACCATTAAATCATATCATATCGTAATAAGATTTGATAGCCAAATTTAAATTATACTTGATTGCTGTGTTCGAGCTTTGCCATTTATATATACAACGATCTTAATTACTTTAAGCGATAAAAGTCATATTATTTATTTAGGAAGATAATCCAATATATTTGCCATCACATTAAAAGAATTCTATCTTTAATTTAGAGATTTTACACAACACACAAAGTTACGGTAACAAATAGCTACTTTAAGTCAGATATTTACGATTTAAGTCAGTATCAACAATATGAAAATATGTTTCTGTTTTGTACAGTGACCACAGTTGGTTTGTATCTGAGTTGGTTAACATTTTACGTTTAGATCTTTTGATGTGGCTAAACAAAAGGAAAACAATCTCACGACCGACTCGTGTATTTAAAATAAGTAAAATTCCGTAGAATTGTGTATTTACTAGCTAATTTATTTATGTTAACTCTTTTAGCTATTGAGTCTTTAATTAAATCTTAACCTCTATCTATAGAATGCTACTAGGGCAGACAAAAAACGAATTATTAGCTAAAGTATTATATGAGTGTTGAAATTAAACGATAGGTATCGCTACCCATAGAACTCTGTATCCTTTGGGATGAAACTTGCCAATAGTTGTGCGGGGTGAGTTCAGCTACCTATAGCATTCAGTATACAAAACGCAGAACTTCGCATAAACAATCTTTCAACGTTTACATCATACTTCGGTCATTCGAATTATTTTTTTCTCATCTAAGAACGGACTATTTTTAAAATTTAACCTGCCAAAAGCTGTTTTCCCGCGACTTCACAAATGTAAAATACAATCTATGTCAACCACGTATTACCCATTACTGAAATAATTTTTAAATATGTCCAGTAGATTCGGGCCTATTCGATGCAAACAAACAAACAAAGATACAAAACAATAAAAATAAATATTCTATATAAGTATAAATAAACTTTATTTATAGACCCTATTAGATAAAACATCAAATAATGAGGTATGCGATACCAATCGCAAAAGAGTTCTCATTTTAGGTTACCTATTTAAATATTAAGGTCAATATTAAAAGTTATGGGTAATAATGGTAAATCGCGTGCCAATTTAACTTGCCAGGATAATGAATACCTATGGCATCATTCCTTGTTCAAACTAAAACTTGTAAACATAAACGTGTGCCTAGTAGTTTAACAGAAATTTCAGGAAGAGGGGGAGAAGTAATCTTCCATAATACCCTGTTTAATTTCGAGTCGTAAATAATAATTTGGTCAATTTTCCCTATACAATTTCGGTTGCGTGTTCAAAGTTTTTATTAGAATTTTATTGTTATTTAGGCGTGTTTGTTCCTTGTTTCAGATTACATCGGAGGTTTTAAAGGAGCCGGGGCGCTAATGTGAGTTTCCGAATTTCCATTTAATTTATTATATAAAAACGTAATTGAATCCGCCGAAACGAAACCTAGTAAAGAGGATGCACGTAAAAACAAAGTTAGTCGGGATGTAACTTCGCAATAATGAATCCCAAAGTATGTAGGCCGAATGTAATGTTATACGGAGCGTTCCGGCAAAGTTTTGGAGAGGCAAATTTTAGTCAACGCACAGGTAGCCCCAAACTATGAGTGTTAAGAAACTTTTATGAGCGGCCGAGCAATTTGACCGCGAGTCAAGAGCTAATCCCACTAGCTGGCGTCCGCAGAACAACACACCTGAGACCACCACCTTTTTATTTCTGTTTCCCATTTCCACCTAATTTTAACTCACCACAGAGAAGGTAGGTTGAACTTTGTCGGGCGTCATAAATTTATTTAACGGCCCGAACGCAATAAGAGGCGGAGTGTAAAAAGAAAAATACGATACCAACGTGCCTAGCCGTTATTGCAATTAAACAGAGGAAGTAAATCTTTCAATACGAGCTACCAACGTTCGCTTCGCCTCCCGTTTTCCTGCCTTAATTTATCGCTTTGTTTTAGTCATGGCGCGTCCCATTGACGGATTGCGATGTGTTTGATTAAAAAACGCAACTCGATCTTCGCCACCCCTTCTGGTCGAGTTGAATACTAATCTTTGGAACGGCAACAAATCTTTGGTCATACGATTTATCACGAGTAACAAGGTGGAGAGACATTAAATTTTATCAGGAGCTACTGTGACTTTAATGTATTGTCTGAGAACGTATTGGAGTGTCTTAATTTTCGTCGTGGAGTTAAACACTTCGCGCCCAATGAAGATGGATGATCGTTTAGAGTCAGCGCGGTTTTGTTCAGTTTCTGAACTGGTATTAAACTTTTTGTTCTCCTAAGAGAGTTTACTTGCTAATATAAAAGAAAGTATATCTCTAACAGTTCTCTAGACGAAAAAAACATTTCTATTTTGTTACATAAATGATTAATTGCCTGAATATTAGTGAAAATACACTCACTAGTAGCCTCAGTAATACGTGCATGAAAAATTCGTCGGTCACGCTGGGTTTCGAAAAGTTAAGTCTTTATATTAATGTCCCCATTGTTGGGACTCAGGCCGACCCTATGGATGGAATCGATTCTTCATCGTCCCGACCGGGAATCGAACTCGAAACCTCAGGACGGCAACACCTTGAAACCGGCGTGCGATATTGAAGACAATTTTTTTTAGTCTGGATATCATTAAATTCTAACCGTAGTTATTAAAAAAGGAACCAACTGAAGTCTTTCATAGAAATATTAAGTGACAAACGTTTTGTCACGGAAATTTTTATGAAACATTTAATAAGTGGAGTTAATCCAATTGAAAAAGATTTGAGAAGCAAATTTATAAATATGGAAAGCAATTTTAGCATTGAGTAATAAAATCTGGATACGACATCTGCAGTTTTCGTGATCGTATGCCAAAAACTTAATTTATGAATTATTTCAGCGAATTCTTCTTTGATTTTTTGTGGTTCTATAGTCAAATATAGGATTCTAAAGCATTTATTTTATTAATGGATGACTTTGAAGTATGAACGCTGTTTAAAGTGCTAAGAAACGAATATTACATTTTTTTAATAATTTGAATGACTTTCCAAATTATTGGAAGTTATTTGTACGATAATTATATAGAAATAAAAATAATTTTTAAGTATAACAAAACACGGAGAATAAATAAGTCTCAAATTATAATATACAACAAATTATATAACTCGTGTGGGACTTGCAATATGGTTAAGCGAATTTCATAAACGAAAATTTTATAATCATACTAACCTTCATGTAACGATAGATTAATCCCATAGTTATAACAATACAGCTAACACTCAGTAGTTTGCGATCGGTCCATATGATGAGTTTCTAGAATTCACAATGTCGGAAGTAAAACTTGTGCTTTATCAATGGGCAAATTCCTTAAAATACAATAACCCTCAAATTTTTTAAGCTATTATATTGTAATAATATCCTCTTTTAAACTTTTAGTATTTTTTATTTTTATCTACATCAGGTTCTATAAGGTTAATAAATTAGATATTGTATTATTCCAGACCATACATACTAACCCATCATTAAAAGAAGCCTTATTGACTTTCGAATTCGCAGTTGAAAGTCTGGGAGATGATACGTAACCACTATTGTGTTCAAAATGGAACTGGCATGTGAGTTAGATTTACAAAGGCCCCTTAATTTAAAAAAGAAGTGCCACAAATAATATCCACCTTATTTTGTTTGCTCCAAACTTTGCAATAAAGTATATATTGTTCAGTCATATTATACATATAAACTATAAAAATATCATCTATACGGGTCCAAAACGGCTAAACGCATTTTCATCTTTTTCTCATTTCCTCTTAAGGAGTTTCAATAAAATACTGAGGGTTGACTCACATTGATGTTGCTCAATTGCTCCACACACGTATTTAATTCGCTCGTGTTGATTTATCTCGTTTCAATGACTCCACTCATCTTTATTGAAAACGTTTTCATAAATCTTTTTTATCCGAGCAAAAGATGATTCAATAATTATACGTTGAAATTCCAGATATATTTCTGATTCAGTTATTGCGCTCGCGAGTGCTTACAATATTCGTGAGACGAGACGTTTCAACTTGGTTGAAAGTTTTCTTTAAACTCCACTCAGCTTTCAAACGAAAGCCTTGTAAGGATAATTGGGATGTTATTTCTCTATTTTAGACTGCATTTATTTCAATTTAAGTGCCGTTTATATCTCAACTTTATGGTTTTATGAATTATTTTAGTGATGTAAAACGTAAGTTAGTAGTACACACGTTAGCGTGTACTTCAGGTTATCACTATAAATCGAATTTCTCCAATCGATTTTTAACTCCACCGTCAAAACATTAAGGTCTATAATCAAATCAAGAAATTTGTATATTAGCTGTTTACTGTATACATATATGAGATAGGCACACACGGATACACGTTAGGTTACCACAATATGTTGAACTCCTCCCTCAAAACTCAATGTTTAAAATCAAGTGGAAAAATTTTACAGTTTTGCATAGTTTGACATGCTGTTGACTGTACTTTGTCTTCGCAATTTTACAAATAAATAAGTAGCATCATCAAAAGCTGTGAGACCAGCAGCTTAATTGGTGGTTGACACTAGTAAATTAATGAATATTTATACAGGTACGCGTAATGCATATCCCAGTGTAAAAAAAGAGGTATGTGAGTTACGCTTAACATATGTATAAAGAACTTTAGGCAAATACTCAGGTTTCAGCACCAAAGGTGAGAACTGTCTGTACCTACGAGAAGCTATATCATACATGGGTGATATAGGGTATAATTTATGCAGCATACTAGTATAGACAATAGATAATTGATAGTCACTCAACTGTAAAATATCTACGTTAGTTCACCCACCCACTGAACTAATGAGCGATTAATACCCGTTCATACCTTCAGAATTTATAAATTTCACAGGGCGTTACTCCGAGTGTCGCGAACGCACAATTTCTGCGGTAATAGGAAAATGAAGGGACGAGTGTTAAATTCAAATTGCTTAATGGCCCGGAAGCAGGCATTTCATTTTCCATGCGAACTGTTGCGTAATTTACTATACTGCGTGCGCAAACGACGCGTCTTTTGTTTGGAGTCGGGAAAAAACGCGAGTTATTATAAAAGCGCGCAACGGAAGGGTTATCCGTTGATGTGTATTTGTTTTTGTCATTTTTATGATATACTAGTGGTTTACTCAGACTTTTCCTGAATCGAATATACACGTTATGTTAGTTTTCGCCACACCACAAAGATTAACACCTATTTTTTATCAGATAAATACGTTGTGTTGAATTTATTTGAACTATATACTATTAAAATGTCTAATTAATTACAGAGTTAAGATCGACAGAATACTAACGACGACCAACGGTCAGTTGCACAAAAGTCCATTAAGGTTTTATGACGACTTAAAATTCTAAAGAATGTTCTAAATTTGAAACTTTTAATACCACTTTATGGTATTATATTAATAACAATTTTAATGGACTTTCGTGCAATTGAGTGTATGGCGTCAACTTTTAGTAAGTAAAACAAAAAAGCATTATGATGCTTTAAAATTATGTGTTGGAGTTATGACTCCAACACATCATTTTATAGGCGAATAGTAAGTAGACTACTTGATTTATTCTCCTCATATATTTATTTTATATCAATAGATCAAATTCATAATTTCGATTGGATAATAGTAAACCTTGCAAATTACATCATTTAAAGAGATGATGAATGACATAAACTAATATGAATGGTTTTTCATTATGCTACACACAATTACGTCATGTAATTAATATTTTTACGAAACCATTATAAGTCAACAATAACTTATGTTACTGCCTTTTGCACCCTAATGTGAAATAGGCGATATTATTAATGTTTTCAGTTGAAACCGTAATATTATACTATTCATTAATTCTGTTATATACCTATTCAAATTACTCCACTTTAGTAAGATTTCCGATAAAACGTTAACGTTAATATCATATTGCAATTATTATTTGAAAAGTTTCAATTAGCCTATACGCAGCGACAAAAATACAGTCAGAGCTATTCAAATATTCATGGGGTATCGATTCCCCTGCTATGCGGGCATGGTTCACTGTGAATACGCCCCATGAAAGATGTTATCGCCACCACACCCGTATTATTACGCGGTATGATGAAAATACAAACATATCTGGACTAAGATTAGATACCGTAGACGCGACAATGTTTTAATATCTAAATAATGTGACAAATAACATAGAGAGCCGGCCCCGGCATTTATAATAGATAATATATCTATAAAATACACATAAATAAAAATAAAACTTCTCTATTATTTAAAATTGATTGATTGACTTAAGAATCAAGCGATTGGATTATATAACTATATCATAACCAGCAACTCGCCAATAAAGGTCATTAAATACATAAAACAATTTGTA